TTCCAGAGGCTGGTGAGCTAATTCCATGGACGACCAGCAGGAGGCGCCGCAGGGGTGAGTCTGGGCCCCCTTACACTCCCCTTTAACACTGCTCACCCATCTCAGGGCCAGGAAGAATCTACCAGAAGCTTCAGATGAAGAACCCTTATTTTTCTGTTCTCAAGTGGGCTACTTTGTCATAGAAGTACCCTTATTCGTTCCTGATAAGAACCTAATAGCCTCTTTATTATGACAAGAAAATGCTGTTGCTGGTCCCACAGTGAAACTGGACATCCAAATCAAGTCTGCCGTCCGGAGTGCTTACCGCTGAAATCTCTTTTACCACTGCCGTTTAAAGGTTCACTAATGGCCTCCAAAGCCTATAGAATTGAAAGCCTTTTTGGCAGATATAGAAAATAGACATCCACTTGTGTCCACTTGTGAGCTATTAATTGTACATAATAACAGCAGCGCACTTGGTATCGTTCTTTGCCAGGTAGTATAAGTAAAGGGACTGATATTTTACCTTGCTTATAGCCAGGGCTTGGCCTGTCTATAGAGAAAAGGCATCCAGCAGCAACCCAAGCTCTGCAGAGCTGGTTTAGGTGCCTCAGTAGTTGGCACTCTTCCATCTGACTCACTGCTAAACTAATACCCCAACTGTGCAAGGTCCCATTGTGCTGCTGAACGCATCTGCTTCCGCCGTATCGTACAACCTCAGTGTTTCCTACGGAGGTTTCAGACAGCTTGTGTCATGGACAAATCCCTCTTCTGTTTATCTCACTTGTCCTGTAACTTCAGGTAGATATGTCATTCTTCACTTCCTTTATTCAAGTTCTGTCGTGTTGCCTGAGCTGGAAAGCTTCCTACCCAAATGGTGGGAGAAGTGTCTGCTGTACGTAGAATATGCAGAATTTGGCCTACAGAACCCCACTGGTTACTTAAACAGGGGCCTTAGCCCTGGTTCTTCTTCCCAAATCCAGATTTAAACTACATTTTCCTTAAGCAAACTTCTCCCCTCTATTTTGATTGCCCTTCACTCCCTGTTCTACACTGTTGAATGGTGTATGTTGAGCGCTGTTAAACAGCAGCCATGTTTCATCCCAGAAGTAGCCGCCTTTCAGTCAGAATGGTGGGAGCTCAGTTCTGCAGTCGTCACATCTCACAAACATTAAATAGGAGATTTTTCTGAGTACAAAATGTAGGTTTGGGCCCAATCACTTTGGGATGTCAGGTCCTGTATAAGTGATATGATCATTATTATTATTATTATTATTATTATTATTATGGGTCTAGCATAAAAAGCACTTACAATGCTTCCTTACAAGTGTTCATTCCTCTGTACCCCAATGGCAGATAAATACTACTGCTCCATAAGAATGGATTCAAATATGATTTTTTTCTTTTTCCTCCATTCAGCTGTCTTTGCTCAGTTATCCAAGGGCCAGATTTTCAAAACTGCTTAGCGCTCAGACCTGAGTCCAGGTTTTCACAAGTGCTCGGTTCCTAACTGAAATGGTCAGAAGTGTTCAGAACCCAGCACCTCCCGTTAATTAAAAACGGTTAGAAGGCTAAGTGGAAGCAGAGCTCTTGTGGGAATCTGACCCTCTGTTTAGGTGCCAGAGTGAGAACAGATGGGTACCGTGCTCTTTTGAATGACTTTCCCCGTCTGCCTGCCCAGTCTCGACCTTCCGTTTCCTCACTGCTCCATTTCAACACTGTATGTCAAGCTCTCTGAGCCTTTGCTGCCTAACCAGATGTTTATGTCATCTCTTCTGCTTTCTGGGGCCTTGATTTTTTTCCTTTCCTTTCCGATTAGCTTAGAAATCAGATGAGAGCTTTGAGGAGAATGTCATAAAATAACGTTTTTTGTCACATTTTCCTTTGAGACCCACATAAACACGCCTTTAGCTCTTGCAAGTAACTGTTTTATGAAATAAAAGATTTTGAAATTACATTGCAGCTTCTCCAGCTGCACTTTCTTTGTTCCAAAGCCACTTACGCTTATTTATTTCTGCATCGCTGTTGCCCGATTCCAGGGGTTGTCCTTGATTTTGGAGTTGCGTTCCAGAGGTGAAATCCTGATCCAGTTTAAATCAAAGGATTCTAGTCTGGCATCAAGAGACTGGGCTCAATTTTCTGTTCTACCACAGACTTCTTGTATGGCCCTCGGCAAGTCACTTAATCTCTATGTACCCTATCGGTAAAATGAGGATAATAGCATTTTGCTACCTCACAGGTGTTGTGAGGATAAATACATTAAAGATTATGGATACTACTCCACTGTATTTGCTTGTCTTGAACGCTAAGTTTATATTTAAATCTGTCTGTCTGTCTGTCTATGGTTCCTAGATGTCCCCCAATGCCATAGTATCCAAGCACCTCACGAACATTTGTTGAATTTATCCTCACAGCATCCCTCTGAGATAGGGAAGTATGATCATGCCCATACTTTGTTGTTGTCATTTTATAAACACAGAGTTGGAGCACGGAAGGACTTATCCAAAGCTCATTGATTCCATGGGAATCCTTTCATTGACATC